TATATATATATATATATATAGTTAATCACCTATACACTGTTAGTGTAAAGTTTTTTACACTATACACTGTTAGCGTAAAATTTTTTACACTGACAGTCAATCAAAGTCGTTAATAGTGCCTTTTTTTTATTTTAATTTAATTAAATAAACAGATAAAAAGACATTATTAACGGCTCTGATTGACTACCAGTATAAAATTTTTTTACACCAATAATATATAAGTGATTAACTCATATATATATATATAATTGTAGTGAGGACACCTGTCCCACTATCTACCATAGACATCCGTCCATACTTTTACTCTATATTTCTCTTCTCATCACATAGTATATTTATTAGAGAAATTCTACTATACCCACTATAATTGTGGGACACCGGAACAATCATTTTTTTTATTGTAATTACTTGTTTTATTTTTATTTTTATTTAATATTTTTAATAATTTATCTGTATAAAATTTTCTATATCTTTATATTATTTTTATATTTTTTAATTTATATCTTAATGTAACATTTATTATAATTAAAAAGTTTAATATTAATATTTTGTTAATATGTTTTAGTTTTTTTTTTTGTGATAATTTTTTTAAATTTATAGTATAAATTAGTTTTTCAATTATATTATATTATTTGTTTTTTTTATTTTAATTTTTTTATAATATTATTATAATTTTTAATTTTTAAATTTTAAATTTTGTTACATATAAACAAAATTTATTATGAAAATTGACCTTTTAATTATTATTTTTTAAATTAGTCTTTTTAATTAATTCATCTTATACAAATTTTTAATCTAAAATTTATATTATTTTAAATTTATCTTTTAAAATTTATTTATTTACATAATTTAATATACCAAAAACTTTCAATTTTTATAAGTATCATAACAACTTCCTATTTATTATTATTATTATTATTATTATTATTATTTTCTTTTCAGTCCTCTTAACTGGAGCCCAATCCTATCCAGAATGTGCTGAACATGTATATTTTTCCCTTTACAAATACAAATCCCCACCCCATATTTTTGTTGTTCTATCTTGAAACAAACAATCACATCTTCTCCTTTAATTCCTTCACATGGCTTCTGGCAACATAAAAATCTACGACCACTCCCGCGTCTCTCCGCCGACATCAACACTTCAAACATCCCTCTCTTTAACATTCTTCGACTTGTTCTGGCTCCGCCTCTACCCCGTGGAGCGCATATTCTTCTACACCCTCCCTACACCCCTTTCACACCCCTCCACTTTCTTCAACCACGTCGTTCCCACCCTCAAAACCTCCCTCTCCCACACCCTCCAACACTTCCCCGCCCTCGCCGGAAACCTCGTGTGGCCCTCCGGCTCCCCAATTCCACTCGTCAAATACACCCTCGGCGACACCATTTCGTTCGTGGTGGCACAATCCGAAGCAGACTTCGACCAAACCCTGGACAACTCACCACGCAATGCCTCGGAGTCACGCGCTTTAGTACCCCACTTGGAATCATCTGATTCTCACGCCGAGGTTCTCTCTCTTCAAATCACTCTCTTCCCCAACAGAGGATTCACCATCGGCATCAGCACCCACCATGCTGTCCTCGACGGAAAATCCTCCACCCTTTTCGTCAAGGCATGGTCTTCACTATGTAAAACCATTATCGAGTCGGAATCAGAGCCAATAAAGTCTCCACCTTTGGTGAAAGGTTTGCAACCTTTCTTCGACAGAACCGTGATCAAACCCGCGAGTGAATTAGGTCTCAACATCACTGAAGATTGGACTGAGATATTAGCAAAAAGGTTCCCTCAAGATAACGGTGATGGGCGATGCTTAAAGCTTCTACCTTCCTCTCCGAGAATCGAGGACGCGGATCGTGCCACGTTCGTGCTGACACGAGCGGATTTGGAGAAGTTGAAGAAAAGGGTGTTGTCCAAGTGGGAGTTGGAATCGAAATCGAAGGATGTTTCGAAGCCAGCTACGTTGTCGTCGTTTGTTGTGACAGTCGCTTACGCGCTAGTTTGCATTGCGGGGTCTAATCGATTTGGGGTTTATGAAACCGATTTTGGTTGGGGGAAGCCTGCGAAGGTGGAGATAGCCTCGGTGGATAGAGCTATGACCATTGGTTTGGCAGAGAGCAAGGATGCGAAAGGTGGTGTTGAAGTTGGCCTTGTTCTGAATAAGGATGTCATGGATCTGTTTCGGACTTTGTTTCATGAAGGATTGTCCAACGAGTGATATATGGTTTGAACTTTCCAACGTCTCATCCCAACATTTTAGTTTGTATTCAAGAAAAAGCTAAAGCCTGTTTTTACAGTTTACAAGACGTCAAAGTCTTCGGGATTTGCAACAACAACCATTCTCTTGCGGAAATAGATCCTTTGCACGGAAAAAGTTAGGGCAATTTTACGCATTTAAACTATTAAATTTGTCACAATATATGACACGTGTATATTTAAGTTAAAATATATTTTGTACACGTGTCAGAATTTGATCTATTATTATAAATCTAACGATTGAGATTATTAAATTACCATAACTTTAACTTTAATATCTTAAAGTAAGATAATCCGGATCCTTCTTTTGCATGTTATATTTCGTCTTAATAATTGTTATTGCACTGTTTCCCGATATCGCAATTTCAAAAAGGATTCCTGCACAATTAGTACAAGTAAGATGATTTGTATAATTATTTTCATTGTCCAATAATCTTTTATCGGGTTGGTTAATCTCATCTTTCCTCATCTAGTTTATTTAAAATAAAAAATAAGGTTAACAAATTTTATATGAATTTAAGTAATTATTGCAATTAAGGGGAAAATGTATTAATTATTTTGTACATAATGGTGTCGGTTATCTTTTACAAGATTTTTCAATTTTGTTTTTACTTAGTTATATGTGTTTAAATTTTCATTAGTGAATCATGTTTTAATAATTTTTCATGTCAAAACGTATCAAAATTAATAAATAGTTACTTCTTTAATCTACGTTTGAGGTTTGTGGATGAGAACCTAAACACACACTTAAAATCTTAAACAATTTTATTTACCTACCATTTTTAAATTTATCTTTTTTCTCTTATATTATCTCTTAAACTTAAAGTGATAATAAGGTGATGAAAGCCGCAAGGTGGTACTTGATAGTGATGATGTTGAATAACATAGTTTTTAAGGACAAATTTAATGACAAATTTAAATTAATTATAATAATATAAAATTTTATTATTATATATAAATACCTAATTTTGTTCAAAAAATATATTAAAAATTTGTTTAAAAATAAAATATTAAAATACATAAACAAATATTCGTACATAAAACTTAAAATATAAAATTGAAAGATATGAAAATGCATAGAAAAAAATTGTGAAAGAAAAAAGTTTAAACTTAAATTTTAAAAACATACTTCCACCCGATTTTTCTCACATATGGATGGGCATTTATGGCGGTAGGTTCTAACATATGGAAATTGTATTTTAAAAAATAAAGTGTAATAATAATAATTAATTAAAAAATTAACAGGTGATATTATAATTAATTTTTATTTTTATTTTTTAAGAATTTAATTTTATCATAAATTTTAATTTTATAATCAGTAATTATGAGTGTACTTAATTCTCTAAAGTGTATCTTTCATATTAGAAGAGTAAAATTTATTATGGTAGTTACATATTTACTATATATTTGGCATAGAAGAAAGAAATAAGTGAGAAATAAAGTGAAGAGAAATAAAAAAGAGAAAAATAGGTAAGAATGGAGTAAGTTTGATTGAAAAGAAATATGTGGAAAATAATATTACGTATATTTAGTAAGATAAAAAAAATAGATAAAAAATAATATATATATATATATATATATATACCTATTAATAGAAGGGATTGAAGTATGTAAGTACTTTTAATCTCTACTTTTTAGTGGATCATTATACCCTTTAGATATATATATTTTTTTATATATATCTTATTTAAATAACTATCCATAATCTTCTAATTTTATGTTTATGTGTAATTTATCTATTATCTATTAATAAAGGGGATTGAAGTATGTAATTATTTTTTGTCTCCACTTTTTAGTAGATCATTATACCTTTCATATGTAAATTTTTTTTTTATATATATCCTATTTAAATAAATAAAAAAAAATCGTGTGAATAACGATTTTATTCGAATGTAACTCATGTTTTATTTGAATACGTTCGTATTAGTGTATATATAGGGGTTGATTTTTTAAGGTGTTTTTTATTAATAAATATCTTGAAATGATTAAACATTTTTCTTTGTTATTCATGTCTCTTTTTCCAATTTCTTCGCTATTTCAATTGTAACAAACGAAGTGTTAATATAAATGTTTCAGATTTTTTTCTCCTCCCACTGGACACCCCTTTTATAAGGGGAAACTTTCCACACACAAAGGAGACAGGGGGACTCACTCATTTAGGTCCTTTATGACACACTACACACCCAGTTCTCTCTACAGGTTGTCGTACAGTTACATATACTCATATATACATTCATGAGTTTGGGTAAGGCATGAATTGAGATGGATTAATTTTTATCTTTATTTGTTTCCAAACATTGATTGTGCTATTTATTTATATTTAAATTTTACTTTAAATTTCTTTCGATCAAGACTTGAAAATAGGTGGGTTCTAATCAAGTCAACTTGATATTTTAACTCAATATATCAATATTAACACATATATAGTTAGATTATGAAATAAAAGATATACCAAAAAAATTTAAATTGAGGTATATTTTATAATATATATTTTAAAATAAATAATTTTGTTATAAATTTAATATAAAAATTATTATTAAAATAAGAAAAATATATTAATTTAATATATAATTCTACACAAAATTATATCTACTAAAAAATTATTATTAAAACATAATAAATATAAAATTTTATATATTTTAAAAGCTTAAAAGATGACTTAAAACAACCCAAATCATATCTTAAACTTGTCCTATGGAAGCATTTGATTAGGAAGAAGTTTTTTCATACATAGAAATTATGATTTTTGATTATTGAAAATTACAAATCCTAAGAATCATTTTTCCTATAAATAACTAAAATATATTTAATTATTCATAAAGATTCCTAAAAATATTTATATAAGACTTTCGAGAATTAATCATTTTCATATTTAATTACAATATTATATTCTTGAATATATAAATATTTTTTTATTAAAATAAATTCATTAGATATATTTATTTACTCAAATCTTATTACAAATATGACATTAAACTATTTTTAAAAGTTTAAAATTTATAGTTAAAGTTATTTAAATATAAAATTCAACAAAATAAATAACAAGAAAAAATGTTGCATAATAATCAAGAAAGATGAAAATATATTATATTATATTATATTATTTCATTTCATTCAAATAAAATAAATAAATAAATAAGTGTTAACAAACTATTAAATTGTAGAAACTATATATATA